ACTTAAGTGTCTTCTATAGCGCTGACCGTAGTTCGGTTTCTTGTTTTTTGTTAACCAGATGATCGTCAGAAAGAGTTTGAAGTATCTTTTTAATTTAGGGTTATGAGATTAATATTTTTATTATATTTTTCAACAACATGTACTCATAAGATTTCTTCATTGATAGGTATTTTGGCCAGTTGTTGTTATAATATAAAGACTGAGTTACAGCTAGATTTCTTGTTTTGGATATCTGCTTATACTTCAATAGTTTTGGGCTATACTAAAAGGTCAGAGTATTTTTCCTCTAATTAATGTTAGAGTTTGTATAGTATAACTATAGTTTTCTTAATATAGCATCATAATACTAAAGTTTCAAAACTTGTGCAGTGATCCTAGAAGTTTGGTAGGGGCCTAGTTCTAATTTTGTAATGTTAATTGTTTTGTTTGCTGTAGTCTTTCTTCTATCTGCTAGTTCAATTGACAATGAGGAAGAGGTTGTGGTAATTAATTTATTTTTACTAACAAAACTTTCAGCAATAAAATTTTGGAAAGCTCCACTGTCCAAAAAGATCCACACATTATAATCATTGATTTTACTATTGAATCTTAATAGTTGTTTCTGATTTTCATCTATTCGCATTAATTTTAAACCGTTATTTGTAATGGCTTGTGATGGTTGGCTAAGTTTTTCTTTAATATTTGTAAATTTTATTTTATTTTTATTTTTGCAGTTTTTTTGTATAATGGTCTAATTGCCTACACTTAAATTAATTTTCTTTTTAATCATTTTTTATATCTTTGATTGTTAGACTCTCTGGCATAATCTAACTCTATTGGTATAAGTCTGCCATTTCTTCTTATTGATTTTTGTGTATAGGAACGTTGTTGAGTTTTGTTGAGTTTTGTTGATAGTGGGTTTTTTTGTTCCAAATATCGCAGTATCGAACTGAATTGCCAATGCCTAAACTTTTTCTAAAGTGGCTGGTGCCTGGTAGGCCACTTTTGTTTAGATAGCATTTTTAAGACTTTTGATAAAGTAAGTAATTTTATTAATCACATTCATATTTTTGATTTGCTTTATAATGTTGTAAAATTAAGTTCTATATTCCTGGACAGACTTGGTCTGTCATAATTTTTTTAACTATTAACAAAGGTAATATTGATAGTTGGGCAGCTAGAAGGCTTGGCAAACAGCTGTTGCGAAGGCATCCCAGTCTGCAAAAGGTACATTGTTTTTTGCTGCCATTACTTTGTTAAGATACCAATATAGAGCAGCTTCTTTGAACTCTGTGACAGTATAATATATCTTAGTTGCATCATTATTAATTCTTTAGGTATGAAAGATACTTTAAATCTGAAGTAACTAGATAATGATGTTCTCTTTTGGGTCATCTTTGTAACCTGGAATCCTAATACTAATTTTTGGTATGTAGTTATTATTAGGGGCAGCTTGAGCAGCTTGGGCTATATTCATATTGGTATTTATATTTATATTCTCTCCCGCATTGAGGATATCTATCAAATCTTGTTGAGTTTGAACCAATGTGACAATGATAGCTAATAAGTTAATCATTGCAAAAAAAAAAAATTTTAAACAAATAAAAGTGGTGTAAGTGTGTATAATATATAAGGGTATAAGATAAGAAAAGTGAATAAAGTTCACTACTACCAAATTGTAAGATTTAGGACCAGTAACTAGAATAGTTTTTAAAGAATGTAACTTAATTCTGTTTATTTTATATGTTTTATTCTTTTTTTTTATTAATCTTACAAGTTATTCTTTATTTGTAAAGAAAGTTAATTAATTTATAAAAAATATATTAGGCTAAAAATATACAATCAGTTTAGTAATTAAATTAGTCGTGATTCACTAATATAAATATTAATGCGTCATAATATTAGTATCTTAAGGCTTATTTCTCAGAAGCATGACTTGTAACTTAGAGGTAGTATATAAATAAATAGAAGTAAATAAAGAAGTATACTTAAAATGGTCGTTACAATATAATAATAATAATAGGAGTTAGATATAGAAATTTATAAAGTAACAATATATCAAATTGGGCTTGTTTTTATGATATATTTATTGAATAGCTACATAATCACTATATCAATATACAAAATAAAATAAGGTTAATATTATGTATTAGCTATATTACATTGAAGTTGGCATCTGCTTGAAATTATAATTTCAAGTGTCTAAAGTTAAAACTATCTAAAATTACTAACTAATGTGTGTAAAAAAGATCTAATTTTAGGTGTTAATTTTGAGGATCCTGTTAATGAAGTAATAGGACAATCATTATTACAAGATCAAATGACTTTTTAGCTATTGTCCTGATTGTTATTTGTTAAATGCAGATTCTTTAAGTTAAAATTATAATTACATATGATTAAGAGAGGCAGTATTAATATGGTAGATAAGGAGCTCAAGAGTAAGTTCAAATGACTTTGAGTATGATATTATAACCATTGATAAGAAAGCTTAAGAAAATTATATGGATAAAAGACCAATTTAACAATATATGGATCAAAATAGAAGCTGTATTAATTTTTTTAAAAACTTTGAATAAATGTAACTCCACAACCACTTGACCAAAGTTGATGAAATTTTTTTATTTAAATTCTATAAATCTGTAGAATTCAAATAAAAAAAATTTATTGATCTTGGTCAAGTGGTTGTAGAGATATATTTATACAAAGTTTTTAAAATTTTTTATTTTTTTCTGTAAATTGTTAGACAGGATAGTCTAAAAGATTGTAGATCCAGATTACACAAAAGTAGTTAACCTGTTGATATTATCACAATTATTAAAAATAGTGATCATATAACTTTTTGTCATTTTAATTAGCTAAAAGACCAGAGATATATAGTTATATATTTCTAGCTAGAGATGCTTAGAAGAATTTTTATATATTTATTCTAAATTTTATTAGGCTATACTCTCTATTTTCTAAGTTAAAATAAAAATTCATATATTCTGATTACTATATAATTTTTATTTTATTAAATTTTTTTTATTAATACTTTAAAAATCAGTTCACATGGGCATTGGGCCTTAGTAAGTGATATCAAATTTTTAATTTGATCACTATTTTTTTATATTCAATTGGTCAAATGTATGAAACAATTACTTGATTATTTAAAACTATACTATAAATAATTTTAAGGATATAATGATTATACAAAATCATGCATCAAACTTATTTGTCCTAGCCAAAACCTATCTGCTTTCTATTGGTTAGAGCTCTACTTGAACATATCATTTGATGTCTAATCTCTATTAGAACATATCGTTTGGCATTATGTATATTGTTATCTTCATAAATTTTTTGCAGCAACCATCATATCAAACGATTTGACCTCTATAAAAATTTTTGGGATCTAAGTCTACTGTTATATAATGTTGCATGTTGACTCATATTCGCCCATATATATTTAGTGTCAACTGTAATAAGACCTTTATACCTAAATTTAATACTAAAAATGATACTTTCATGTGATACTTATAAAGATTTTTTATAATCACTATGCAGAGATCTCTTTTATTCCTTAAACTGTATTTCAGGCAAATTTGCCTGAAACATTAAATTGTATTTAGTATTTTTTAAATAAAATAATAATTTATTAATAATATGAGGTATATATTTATTATTTTTTAAACTGTATTCTAAGCAAATTTGCCTAAAAAAGTAAATTGTATTTAGTATTTTTTAAATAAAATAATAATTTATTAATGATATAGGTATATATTTATTATAGAATATATTCTTGAAAATACAACTCTTTCTTATAATCCTTTAGACAACAACAACAAGAAACTGAACTATAGAAAAACAATATAGGAACATCCAAGACAGATACTTTTCAGTTCTATCTTAGAGTAAAGCAGTTGTTAACAAAGTCTGAAGACATAAAACACTGAGGAGCAGACATACTTTGGGCAGTTTTTCTTAGAGTCAAACCTTTCTGCTTTTGTATGACTTCTTAAGTTATTCAGTATCCAAACCAGAAGGATATTCTGAAAACTGTTTTCACCTTTGTGTAGGTTGTTGTTGACGAAGTTCAAAAGACATAAAATACCAAAGAGTAGATGTAACTTGGATGGTTTTTCTTAGGGTCAAGTTTTTTGCTGTATCAACAAACTTCTTAAGTTATTCAGCATCCAAATCAGAAAGCCTATTCTGAGAACAAGTAGTAGTCAAAAGACTTTCACTGAAATAGTTAAAGCTTAAAGAATTGTCTATACAACTGTAAAACTTACAGAAAAACCTCACATACTCTTGTTGTCCTCCTACTTTTTTTTGAAAAAATTTTATAAAAAAGTGGGCAATTTAGCTTATCCTCTCCAAAAGATTGATATATTTTTTACTTACCAAATTAGTCACAGTGTTTACTTTTTTATCTGTTATAACAAACATGTGAATATATATGAAACTGAACATATTGATTATATGCTTCAATTGTGACAACTCAGACAAACAATGACTCAAAACCTCCAATGCGAATTTCTGACCTTTCTGACCTCTCTACAGTGCTGATGTTGAAGAAGCTATTTTTTTTACCTTGTTGCAGAGTTTTTTCTTATCTTAGATATATTACAGTATATATATAGATTAGAGTAGAGACTAGTTTAAATAGTAGTATGTAATTTTTACAGAGCTTGTTACAGGCTTATAATTGTGACTGTTCAGTACAGATAAAAAATTCCATATTTATTTTAGTTTTTTTCATCTTCCTCTTACCTCATTTATTTTTTATTTATATTTTTTAATATATTCTCTATACCTCTGTATTTCTTTAAAAATTTTTTTTTTTTTTTACTTCTCTATGAGAAGATGTCATCAGATTAGTGATATTCTATTGTAGGGTGGTGGTTGGATAAGCTTTTCAGTTAGGTATTATCTTAATTGATGGTATCTTGCTAGTATGACAGGTTGTCTATGAGTACTCGAGTAGCAGTAGCTGTAAGACTATTCATCACCTATTTGACTTAATTCTTGAATAATACTCAGGAGTATGGATATATTTAATTTATTATTTTCATATAATATATTCTCCTTATACAGTACCCAGTTCTTCACAATATCTGCAAATACTACTCAATTTAAAAAATATAAGACCCCAGGTACTGTATACAGTGCTAGATAGTAATTTTACTCTACTTGTAAACAATTTTTCTATTTTCTTTTACTATTGTAATGTAATATAACAAATAAAATATTAGTTATTTTAGTTTGCCTAAACCAATCATGCTATGGTTCTTTTATTTCTTTATAACAACTTTTTTTAATTGATTTAATGTTTAATTCTAGTTTTGTTAGTTTAGATGATATGTATATATAAAGCATTTATTGCCAAATCTATATTGTAGCACTTACGGTGTAAGAAATCTAAAAACCACAATTATCTTATAGAGACAATGTATAAACAAATAGCATATCGAAATCAAATGCAGCATAGTATTTCCTAAATTATTAACATCAATAAAAAAAGTATATAATACTTTATTGAAGTTGATAATTTAAGAAATATTTGACTTCAATAATTATATATAGCAGAAAATTTAAAAAATTACTATTTCTCCAAAGTTAATGTAACGTATAATTAATAGGCATAATTAAGTAGCATATTTGAAGTCAAATATTTCTTAAATTATTGTTTAGTTTCAATATACTACTTTTTATATTTTGTCTCTGTTGTTTCTGTAAAGTGATTGTTGTTTTTAAATTTCTTACACTATACGTATGTTCATATCTGATAACAAATATATACTTATAGGATGATATTCATTTGATTGGTCTGATGTAAATCAATTGCCCAGAGAACTTATTTAAAGCTAGGGTTGTTAATGGAGTAATCCAAGCTATAATAAAACATATAAACTACTCTAGTTTTAATTGGAGTGGTTTATATGTTTTATTATAACTTGAAGTACTTTATTAACAATCCTATTTAAAGCACAATGTTTTACTAATTAAAAATCATGGTAAAAGCCATTTCTAGCTCTAAACAAACATAAAACTTATAGTATTAGTTAGATTAGTAAATATAGCCTTGAGTTAAGAGTAGGTTGATAATACATATAAGCATTAAGATTTTATTAATAATATGGGCTAAAAGTCGTATTGCACTTTTAATAAAGATCATAATAGCAATAAGATAGAATTAATTATTTTTTTATTTTTAAAAAATCTTTTTATTAATGTTAAATTTGATCTTTATAAATTAGCTAATTATATGAATAACATTCTATGAAGCATATCTGCTTTGTTAGATGATTATCAAATGGAGAATTTTTATTGGCTGACTATATTAAAAAAAAATTTTTAACTTCCACTTTGCTGATATGGGCGGGATATGAAAACCAATTATATAAATTTATATAGCCTAATTTTTTAATTAAAATTTTTTTTTAAATTAGTCTATTTTTATATTATAAGCAACTTAATTTTTTTTTTCTTATAAAATAAAATTAAATACTACTATAATATAATCCTTATTTCAAATATTATTAAAAAAATTTTTATTTAAATATTTTAAAATTTAAAAAATATAGATTATAAGTATAT